GGATGCACTTCCTCTTTTCCTGATAGGTCTGGGTAAGAGAAGGTGGAAGAAGATGCTGATTGGATTATATGATTCTGTTGCACGTGATTGTTAACAGTGTTGTGATTGTAAATACTTGGAACACTAACATGGGGGGTGATGGATTTTGTTAGTCCACTGGGTATAAAATGAGCTATTTTAAAAGTAGAAAGGGGAGATCTCACTGTCATCAAGAAAGAAGAGTGGGGATTGGAGTGCTTCCTTTGGAGATAGAGTTCCCTGTGTACTAAATCTAATCAATCTAGGAGACAAAGCTGTGCCATCAGAGAAGTGACAGTAGCAAAGGCAACAGTACCAAAAGCATGACATAGAGCAGCAGGCTTCCAAGACCAAGGAGAGAGTAATGCTGAGTGCCTTCAGGCAGAAGACTCAATTGTAGAATGAGTTGCCTCCAGGCACTTAATTAGGGGGCGCTAGGTTTGCTGACGGATAGAGCTAGAATCTAGTAACTTTGGGCTGAAGCTTACAGTGGAGTGTTATTTGGGCATTTTTTTGTAACACTGCCCAAGCAAGGCAGAAGCCAAGGGATGCATGTCTGAGAGGCTGAAGACCATAGAGAGGTGTGTCTACGAGCATGGCTGTGAATAGGCACTGCCATCGAATACCTGCATACTGAGCATATCTGATTCTCGATTGTAACCTGTTAACTTCCCTAATAAATCCCAAAGTCATGAGTATTATCCAGTTCTGTATTGCCATTGCAATGAATTATCTAGTCCAGCAGAGAAGCAGAGAGTACTTTGGAAGGGACAATTAGTGTCAAAGTTGGTAAAGGGGATTGGAGGGTAGAAGCATATCTGACCTCTGCTTCATAGGAAATGGCCTTGGGCTGATATAAGTTTGATTCTCCTTTCCCCGTGTGAAGTCAGAGGAGGTCAGAAGTGGCTCTCTTACACCTTGTGAGAATTACATATTAACTTAATTACTACTATCAAATAGGCAATTGTTTACTGTGCTTTGCACTTGTGCAAGGCATTAAAAGAATGACAGATGTTCTTTGCCCTTGAGTAGACTGCAATTTAGTACACAATTTAAAACATGTGCATTACTAATTAAAGCTATACTGGGCAGATTGTAAGCCTGATATAAATTCAGTGCTACAAGAATTCAGGGGAGGGCCAAACTAATGGCAATCTGGGACAACGATTGGTAGAGATGGCATTTGAATAAGGCCTTAAACCAAAACAAAACATAAAACCACTATCCTTGACTTGATTCCAGCTCATAATGGCCCTACAGAATAGAGAACTGCCGCATAAGATTTCCACAGCTATACATCTTTACGGAAACAGACTGCCACATCGCTCCCCTGCAGAGTGGCTGGTGTGTTTGAACTGCTGGCCTTTAGTATTTAACCACTGTGCCACCAAAGTACTTTGAATAAGACCTTAATGTGTAATATTTCAATAGGAAGAGAGAAGGCCATTTTATGGGAAAGTAATAGCTTTAGCAAAGGCATGAAGGCAAAGGAAGCACAAATAAATTAGGAGAACTTCAAGTGACCAGACCCAGCTGGGGGACAGACTACATTAAAAGTAACAGGTAACTGATTTAGAAAGGTAAACTGACTAGTTCTTAACATAAAAAGGAGGAAAACTTCGGAAGCTCGATTTTAGAAAGAGAAATAATTCTTGAAATATACCCGTCGCCTATGATTTTTCATACCATATCTTTTTCGAAGAAAAAAAAAAAATATCCTGGCTGCTGCAAATACTTTTTCTGAGCTGGCGAATTCTTGTCTGCAGTTTAACTAATAATATATTCTTACTGCCTACATCTTACGATCCTTTCACTCATTCTCTTTGCTCATCGCTGAAATACCTTCTCAATTTCAGTCATTAAATCGGTTCTGAGTGGTTAACTCTAGAACTAAGGAGCCCTGGCCACGTACTGGATTATGAGCTGGGCTATTAACCACGAGGTCAGTAATTCGAATATACCAGTCACAATGAAGAGAATGATGAGGTTTTCTGCTCCTGTAAAGCCTTACAGCTTCGGAAACCCTATGTAGGGTCAATATGAGTCAGAACTGACTCGGTGGCACACACCACCGCCACCACGATTCAGGGAACATGGTTGATCTGTAGGGTGAGCACTGGACAGTGAACCACAAGGTTGGCAGTTCAAGCCCACCAGCCACTCCTTGGGAGAAAGATGAGGCTTTCTGCTCCTGAAAAGATTTACCGCCTTGAAAACCCTGTACAGGATCACGCTGATTCAGAACTGACTCAGTGACACACCACCATCACCACTCTAGAACTAGTTTCACTCATTTATTTCCCAGTCCTCTCCTTCTTTGTCTCCAGCTTGTCGCTGCTAGCAACTCACTCACTCACTCACTCACTTGTCTCCTCTTAATAGATAGTGCTGAGAGTTTCCATAATGCTAGTACTGCGATTAGTGCTTTATTAGCATTATTTAATACAGTCCTCAAAACAACACATTAAATAGGAGGTATTACTGTCCCTATTTTATGGCTGAAGAAACAAGCTCAGGGATGTTAAATATCACATGAGCTGGTAACTGTCAGAAACTGGACTAAAGCAAATCTACTTGACCTTAGAGCTCTTGCCTTTTACCACACTGAGGTACTATCTCCCAGGAGTCTTGCTGGTGCAGTGGATACATGCATGGCTGTTAACTAATGAAAAATCATTTTAGTGAAGGGTATATTTCCAAAGTTATTTTCTATTTCTAAAATCTGGCTTCCTACATTTTCCTCTCTTTTTATATTAAGAACTGGCCACAGTTTACCTTTCTAAATCAGTTTCCTATTACTTCTTATGTAGCCAGGCCCTCAAATAGATTTGGTCACTTGAAGTCTCTTAATTCACCTATACGCCTATGCCGCCCTTCTTTTCCTACAACTATTTTCTTCACATAAAATGGTCTTCCTAACCCCCTCTTCCTGTTGAAGGATACATGTTCTAATGTCTTATTTATGAAGCCCTGGTAGCATAATGAATTATGAGCTAGGCTGATAACCACAAAGTCAGTAGTTCAAATCTACCAGTTGCTCAACAAGAGAAAGATAAGGCTTACGGCTCCTGTAAAGACTTACAGCCTCAGAAACCTTGTACAGGCTAGTAATGAGTCAGAAGTGACTCAGTGGCACACGACCACTACCAACAGTCACCAAGGTCTTCCTCAGCAGTACAGTGGCTAAGCACTCAGCTGCTAAGCTAAGGTCAGCAGTTTAACCACCAGCCACTCTGCAGGACAATGATGTGTAGTCAGCTTCCATAAAGACTGAAAGCATTGAACAGTTCGACTCTGTCATACAGGATCCTTATGAGCTGGAAACAACTCAATGGCAGTGGGTTTGGTCTACCTCCCTTTGACCTCTTATTGCTAAGGTCTAGTCTTTTCAATTAAAAATGACTGCATCCATTAGCCCCTATGGCTGCAAAATCCTGCACGTGGTGCTGTCAACGATGCATAAATAAAAGAATGTCTGCTGTATGTTGTTGTTGGTAAGTGCTGTTGAGTCAGTTCTGACTCATAGTGACCCTATGTAGGGTTTCCCAGGAACAGCTGGTGGGTTTGAACTGCTGACCTTGTGGTTCGTAGTCCAGGGCTGATCCTACAGCGCCACACTAGGAGTAAGTACTGTCTGCTGTATATATGCTTATAATCTATACTTGAGGATGAACATCTGTGTCATATCAATTTGTAAAATCATATGTCCATGATTCATGAATTAAAGTAACTAAGGTTAGAAGAGGCAAAATACCTCTATGTATGGATGTTGGATGGTGACTACATCTATTATTGGCAGGAATTAGCCCATCCCGACTGCTGTCTTGAAGAGAACTTTAATAACATATTTAAGTCACTGTCTGTAAAAGCTCTCTAATGATGAAAAATCTGTCCTGTCAGAAGTTCCCAACCAAATCTGCTTACAATTCATTTTCAATGGACTTCAGCTTCCTTTGAAGTTACTAATATATTTTGGCCAATAATAAGCTCATTGTGAGACTAGTCCTTGTACAAGGAATTGTGTTCTAACCAAATAGCTTTACTATCAAGTACGCAATTCTTAGCCTACTTGATAGTAAAGCTATTTGGTTAGAATACAAGTTTGATATCAAACTACTTCTACCATGAAGCCTGAATGCTATATGAAGTTACAGAGAGCCATTTAAACAATGAAAAATACTTGAAATGTCATCTTTTTAGGCTATGTGCTTTTAATACTGCCTTTACTAACTAGTGAATAAGTTTTTGCTTAATATTTTAAGGAAATAATTACATTTTTGGTGCCTGGCATGTCGCTATAAGATAAGCACTAGACTGCTAATAGTACGATCATCAGTTCAAACCCATGAGTCGCTCCTCAGAAACCCAATACAGGGTCACTATGAGTTAACTGGAAACAGTAACAACAGTTACATTATTAAACAACAACAAATATATATATAATGGTTGGTGGTTATGTGCCATGGAATCAGTTTCAACTCATAGCAACCCTGTACAGGGTTTCTGAGGCGGTAAATTTTTATGGATGCAGAAAGCCTCACCTTTTTCCCATGAAACAGCTGGTAGTTTCGAACTACTGACTTTGAAGTTAGCAGCCCGATTCATAACCACTATGCTACCCGAGTTCCTTTATAATCTGACTAATTTTCTTAATATATATATGCTAGAAAATTAGATTATTTGCTCAGCAGCCCTCTTTAGGCTATAACCATAAGTACCCCATTTGAGAAAATAATAATTTTGGACATAATCTTTTCTATCTACAAATGCATAGTATTCATATCACAATTATATGACTCCAAGACTCCTCACAAGATTGCTGACACTAACTTCATTTACTCTGCAACCTAAACTGCTAACACAATTCATTTTTAAGAGACTTTAAGTCAAAAGTCTAGACTTCAAAAGTGGCAAAAGAAATACCAAGCCATGTTTGGTTAACAAGTAGAACCTCCAAGTTACATGAAGTTAATGGTACTTACTGTTCAATTCGGGGTGACAAGTACAGCTTGGGGTACACCTGAGTAGCTTCAGTGTCCTCAAAACTAACAGACAACAGAGCCACATCTTCTCCAGGATCTTCATTTGCATCCTTAAACAGAAAGTGAAGAAGACAATGTCATTAGTACCTATTCTCTAACATCTGATAAGTGCTGAGCTCACAACCCACCAGAGATGAGGTCATTGGTTATGGTTTACTCATACTCCAACTTAGGGCCTCAAAATATCCTTTGTCACAAACCTACTCACTCCCTTAGAGTGATGGCTTCTAAACTTCCTGACCAAAGTCTACCATGTTGTTGTTGTTAAATGCCATTGAGTTGGTCCCAACTCACAGGGACCCTGTATAGATAGGGTTTCCGAGAAGCAACTGGTGGGTTTGAACCAACAGCCTTGCAGGTAACAGTCCAGTGCTTATCCTACAGAGACACATCAGGACTCTGTAGGGAGGAAAATGATCTCTTGGCCAACTTAGCTCATTTATTTTCATATCTCAAGGGGAAAAGCAAATCAGTGACAATAAAGAATTAGATACAAAATTAAGAAATTGCAATAAATATATTGCTAGTAATACATGAGAGATTTTAAATTTACTTTTATATGGAAAAGATGAGTAATAGGATTCATATTATAAAATACCAGCAAACACTAAACTATCCAATAACTTAAATTATGCCTACCTTAATTGTATGTTTTAAGTTATTATACAGCATAATTTCACAGGACACCTGTCACCACAAAGTGCGTCACAAGCAAATGGCAATGAGAATTATGTGCATACCAACTTTAGCAAAATGATTATTTGTTGTGAAGTGTCACAGAATCGTTTCTGACTCATAGGGACCCTTTATAGGGTTTCCAAAGAATGACTGGTGGGTTAGCAGCCCAATGTGTATCATGCAGTACCACACCACGGTCCCCAAAAGATTATAAATGATCCACATAGAAACCATAAGGCATATATATCTTAAAAGTCTAGTTATAAAAAATTATAAAACAAAACACTGATGCGGCTATATATACATCATGAAACACTGCAAAGTTAACCAAACAAACCACAATAAACTAGGATAATAATAAAGCTAACCTTTCTGTTTATTATTAAAAAGCAAAAATAGCACGAATTGAATATTATAACTCAAGCCAATACTGATGAAGTGTCCTGAATCAAAATGGAGTGACTTACAACTCTATATGCATGTTCCAAGCACTGAGAGTCTGCCAGACTTGTGAATAAAATACTGAATTAAAATACTTTTGAGTGGCATGTTGATTTTAATTTGTGAATACTAAATTTTTGTAAACCTTAATTTATTTTGGTTGGTAGTGGCTCTGAGTGAAATGTAATAATCATAATACAAAAAGCATAATCAAATTGTACATCTTTCACTCAGACAGAGTGGTGAACTGCATCTCTGTGTTAGTTCATCAGTCTTCAGAAGGGCTTATGGACGTCTCAGGAAGTCTCAACCTGAACTTAAAGAATCACTGTCTGTGAACATTGAGTGCCTCAGATAAAGTCCTGACTTCTGTGGAAAATTCCTTTTAGATTTTTTAGTTTTCAACTTCTCAACATGACAAAATTTAGGCATGACTTCTTATGAAGTCAAACAATACAGGCGTTTTTAAAGAACAAGCTTTTGCACACCACCCACCACACTCCCACTTTTCAGGGTAACCAGTATTAACTGTGTGTAGCCTCGAACATCTTTCTCTATGCTCATAAAAAAGAGACATACATACACTTGCATATGAACAGTTCTTTAATCTTTTATTTTGTCTTCCTTAATGGAATCTTATTATACATCTTACTCTCCCAATTGCTTTTTAAACAGCTACATAATATTCCATGATATGGATTTATTTTGAATTAAATCCTTCCCCTAGCCACAGACATTCAGACTGATTGCAATTCTTAGCCGACTTGATAGTGCTGCAATATATATCTTTTAGTCCTGATGTAGCGCTGTAGGATAAGCACTGGGCCACAAGGTCAGTTGGAATCACAAAGTCAGTGGCTCAAACTCACCAGCCATTCCTCGGACATCTTATACAGGGTGGCTATGAGTCGGAACTGACTCAAGTGCACTAACAACAGTCATGGGATTTACACCAGGGTAAATTAAAAAGTATTGTTATAAAATCATAGAAACATTAAACAAAAACAGAATGTGAAATTTTTGTTTCTCAGTATCTTCATCTTCTAGGTCTATATACTTCTGAAGGTGGTGTTTGCATATCTCCAACTTTTCCCTGAAGAATTCCATGCTCTTTGATTGATAGCATGTCAAACCGAGTTTTGGTATCCTTGAGGGACTCAAATCATGTTCCTTTTTGATGTTGGGTTTAGGGAACATAAGAAGACTGAAAGGGGAAGATCAGGACTGTTGGGTAAAAAGGGTAGGTTTCACAATGAAATTCTCCTAGGCAGCCTTTGCTACCCTCAAAGAATAGGCAGTGCATTGTTGTGATGAAAAAAATCCTTGGTGCAACTTTCTTGTCATTTTTGTTACCAATGCATTTCAATTATCTGAAAACTTCATAATAAGACCTCAGGAGTAGAATACTCTGTGTCCTTTTGAGAAAATGTATCAGGGTTACCCCTTTAGACTCCCCAAGACAGTCGCCACACCCTTCCTTCTAAGCTGACCTCTTTGCCTTGAATTCATCTTTGAGGTCTTCTCAACCTTCCTTAAAATGCTTGAACCATCTCAAAACATTTTATGAGACAGTATTCTTAACAAATCTGTTGCAAATCTTTAGTGATTTGGGAAGATGTTCACTTGAGTTTTGTTAAAATTTTTATATTAGCCCTCAAAATAATTTTTTCTATGTATCTTTAAAAAAATTTTTCTGAACCACCCTAAACAGACAAGGGTACTACTGAGAAAACATCTGCAGCCATTAACTGATCACAGAGATGCGTTTAAATGCATTTGTTTGGAATAAATGCACACATGCCTGAACTGGAACCCTAGTAGTAACACTTTTTGACTTAACCTACTATTTATTGATTGATAACTATAAGTGAGATTGTTGGGTCAAAGACTGTGAAGTGTTCATCTTACTAATAGAATATTCTTCTAAAATTTCTGCAGCAACATTTAGTCCAGTATGAGTAAATAGATATGAAATGTATACTCTGATTTGAACCAGTATAGCTATGTAGCAGTATGGCAGAGTTTGTTTCTTCTTCTCCTGAATAATTGAACAATATGGCTGTTATTTTAAAAATTTTTAATTTTTTCCCCAAAAATACTATCTCAATTTAGACTCAGTGAATGAGGCCAAGCAAATTTTCTGTTGTTTATTGACCATTTATTTGTGTTTTATTTTTTATGAAATCCTTGCTCATTTTGGTTTAAGATTCTTAGCCTTTTACGATCAATTTGTTTAAGAGCAAGATGCTCTTAGTTTATTAATCTTTTGTCTATCACATGTCTTACAAATGCTTCCTATCATTCTAATTTTTGACTTTTTACATCGCTTGGGGAATCTGCCAATTTCTCCAAATTTTAATCTAACATTTTAATACTTTTATTTTTATAGAGAGAGCTTAAAATATTTTGAATATGTATTTTTTAATATGGTATGACATAATATGGCTATATTTCTTCCAAACTAAGAAAGTGGGGAGGGGAGGCTCTTAGCACAGTGCCTGGAACTTGGGAAACACTGGATGCTTGCTGAATAAATGACCTAATTAGTGAGTGAATGAACGTTAATTCCTAATATCTACTCTCCAAAATCCCTCCTCCCCAAAACAAAAACAAAACAAAACAAAAATATCCCTTGCTGCCTGCCATCCTGTTGAATCAAACTCATGGCAAGTCCATGGAGAAGAAAAAAGTGAGAGAGGTTGGCTCAATGCCTAATGAGCTTCAAACTGACTTTACAGAAGCTCCTGTTATCAAAGATACCTGCTGACAAAGTGCTGAGGCTTTGCTCCTGTGCCACTCCTCCCTCAACACACCAAGTTTCTGAGATGTGGTGGTTTACCAAGGAGCACGAAGATTGAGAGTCTGAGCTTACCTATCATTCCTTGCCCTTGTACAGATAATAAAGTATTCAACCTTGAATTTTCCTTTCTGTAAACTGTTGACGGAAAACTTTTAAAGATACTTAGGGTCCTCAACAAATAACCTCAAAAACCTAATTATTTAACAGGACTCTGTTGTTGTGTGTGATCTAGTCGGTGCCAACTCACAGCAACCCTGTATAGAATTTCTGAGGAGAACTGGTGGGTTTGAACCACCAACCTTGTGTTAGCAGCTTGGTGCTTGTCTTGCAGTGCAACAAAAGAACTCCAACATGACTCTATATTGTTGTTAAATGCCAGGGAGTTGGTTCCCACTCATAGCAACCTTGTGTGGCATTTCAGAAACTTTAAATCTTTGAGAGCAGAAAGCCTCATCTTTCTCCCGAGGAGTGACATGTGGGGTCTCACTGCCGACCTTGTGGTTTGGAATCCAGTGTTTATCCTATGCTCATTAAATATCTAAAACTTAGGTTAAAGCTGACCTTGAAAAAAATTCACATTCATTTTATAAACTAAGTATAGAAATAGTTCTCTTTACAGTTAGATTGCTGTTAAGTGCCATCGAGTCAGTTTCAAGTCAGAGTAACCCTGTATAGGGTTTCCAAGGAGCAGCTAGTGAGCTTGAACCGCTGACCTTGTGATTCAAACTGACCTTGCAGTCCAATGCATTAATCCTTAGTACCATACAATTAAAAAGAACTAACAATGACTCTCAGATATCATCCCCCAACAACAAAGTTTCTTTATTAAAGTTCAAGGTTGAATGCTCTGCAAAGACTCACTGTAAAGAACTTGGGGGCACTGAAAACTCTTTTTAATTAACAGGTCCATTCTAGATCCCTGTGGATAATTTAGAATTATTTCCTTTTTCTACTTTTTAACTTCTCATTTCACTACTATTTAAGCAAATAGAAATGCTGAGAGACAATCCTCAAAACAAATGGAATGACCCCACTTTATATAATCAACATGCATCATCTGACAGCCTGCAAGGAGTACATGAAACATTAATCTGACTATGAAAACAGTTATTTCCAGGAGCTCATTTTACA